TTTCATTGTTCCAGCCCCTTAGACTATTTTTATTTAAAATATATATATATCCGCAGGAAGTTGCAAAAATGATACAGAGGCATAACAAGTACTTGTCACCCAGTTTTATCCATTGTTTTCTTTATCTTACATAGTTCAGTTCATATGAATCATGACTTGACTTTGGGGCCATCAGTGTGTGTATTTATGTGTCATTTCTTTTTAGACTTTCAGATTCATATCACTCCACCACAATGAAAATGCAGAGGTGTTTGTCCTGCCACCCCCAGTTATTTTTTATTCCTTGTTCCTGTCGCGTTGGAGGCATGGTTCCTTCCCACTAATTCATTCCGCAACCATGTACTTATCTCTTCATCTCAAAAGTGGATCTAATTAACCCATGACACTATTTTATTTCAGGTATGATATTTAATAATTGTCCAGTCAAAATGATCAACACAATAATTCTACTTGACGGATCATCTTATAGAGTTAAATTATTTTCTTGCGATATGAAAATTGTATCATCTTTCATGATGATAATATTGGAGGACATAAATATATCTCCTCTCACAGACACCACAAATCTTCAGCTGCCTAATAAGGAAATGGTCTAAAATTGAAGACAAGGAGAAGGGCCAGAGCTACTCTCTTGCAGGCCGGGCATTAGTCTTTCATCTGATGACCAGGCACTACATATGTTTTTCCGAGCATCACCAGAAGTGACCCCTGAACTCAGAGACAGAAGCAAGCATTGAGGAATGCTATAGATCTCCTTAAAGATTTCAAATTTACAATTGAATATTATTAACCATAAGTCACATACTGTACATCACATCCCCATGACTTTAGATCCTGTTCATCTATTTCTACTCTGGCAATCAGCATTCTGTTTTCTGTAGGTATGAATTTAGGTTTTATTTTTTCTTTTTGGGTCACACCCACCGATGCACAGGGGTTCCACCTGACTCTGCACTCAGGAGTTACTCCTGGTGGTGCTCAAGGGACCATATGGGATGCTGGAAATCGAACCCGGGTCGGCTGTGTCCAAGACAAATGCCCTACCTACTGTGCTATTTCTCCAGCCTCATGAATTTAGTTTTTTAAAAACTTGGTTATATGCTACATATTAGAACGGTCATAGTCATGTGATCATCTTTCTCTGTCAGACTCATTGCATTCAACATATTGTACTCCAAGTCCATAAATTGTATTACAAAGGGCAGGTTTTTTTATGTTGCTAAAAAATATACCGCTGTGTACGTATAAGCATATATCCATCCACAACTTCATGCATTCATAACTTCTTTATATATCATCCACTCATGGGCCTTAGCATGTTTTCATATAGTTTTCATATAGCGTTTGCCTTGCATGCGGTCGATCTGGCCGAGTTGGGCTCTATTCCTCCGCCTCTCTCGGAGAGCCTGGCAAGCTACCAAGAGTATCCCGCCTGCATGGCAAAGCCTGGCAAGCTACCCATGACATATCCGATATGCCAAACACAGTAACAACAAGTCTCATAGTGGAGAGGTTACTGGGCCCGCTTGAGCAAATCGATGAACAATGGGAGGACAGTGCTACCTCACTGTGGAAACCACTCACCACTCAAGTGTACCGGGACTCTGTCCAGTAGGATTTGTGTCGGACAGAGGAGGAAGGATTCAACAGCTCAGCTCCACACTGCTGAGTTCTCTTTGTAGGACCCACCAAACCCAAGAACATTTTGACATTACATAGATAGAAAATTTACTACCAATGAGCATCCCCCAATTCTATGAACAAAGCCGCTATTTTCACAGAAAGAAGTAGTAGGTGACCTTCATAAGCTCTGACACAGCATCTTCCTGTGGTGATGCTGTATCAATCAAGCTGTGGGGAGAAGACCAGATATTCTCATGATGATATATTATCTAGGCATGTTAATCACTTAATCACTTTTTTTTTCATTTTTCATTTCATCATCCTGTTATTCGTCGATTGCCTCGAGCAGTAACATCTCTTTCATCCGAACCCTGAGATTACATTCAAGGCTCTTTAGGAGAATGAGACCCATCATTGTTACTGGTATTTGGCATATTGGGTACGCCACAGGGAGTTTGCCAGACTCTGCCGTGTGGGCAGGCTACATTCAGTAGCCTACCAGTTTGTCAAAGTAGGAATGAGATGATAAGATGTCATAAAAGATGTTCTGATAAGATGTCACGCGGCCGCAAATGCGGCCGCGCGGTTCCAGGAACTGGATTTTATAGTCTCTGGGTCTTGGCCGTTGATGGGATTACACAGCGCCAGGGGGCCAGGTGGTGGGTGTGACCCCCGCCTACTGGAATTTGGAGGATCTGGGTGGAGGATGCTTGACTCCAATCCGAGTAGGCTGGGAGATCTCGGCCCCGGAACCCGCGTGGATTTGTCCCTCTGCCAGTACCTTCAGGTGTGTGGAGAGTGGTCTCAGCATGGTGGTGGCTGGTCCTGGAGGTCTTCGGCTGCCGAGAGCCCTGGTTGGGGCGGGGAGGAAAGCTCAACCCGATCCCCTCCAACGGGCCCTGGCGAGGAACAACTTAATCACTTAACTTCCCATTAATCGTCGATTTGCTCGAGCGGGCGCCAGTAATGTCTCCATCTGTCCCTGTCGTGTGCTAGTGTAGCCCAATGGCGTCTGTTTGCTCTAGGAACATGAAGAGCCTCAAACCGATCGTTCATGATCTTGATGAAGAAGTCTGACTGGGCTGCCACGCGGTCTTTTGACATCCCATGGAATCCAGTCGGTAACAGCTCTAGTCCAGCGGTCGTCTTTAAATCTCATTACGTGACCAGCCCATCTGAATTTTGACACCTTGGCAAACAAGACAGCGTCCCTGATTCTTGATCGTCAACGGATGTCGGAACTCCGGATTTTTTCTGTCATTTGAGTGAATCGTGATATTCCAAGCGTAGCTCTTTCGATTCCTCTTTGAGAGACCCGAATAGCGTTCTCATCCTCCTTTCGTAGGGCCCAGGTCTCTGAGGCATATGTTAATGCAGGAAGAACAGTGGAATCAAAGAGATATGTTAACATATCTAGGCATGTTAACATAGGAAAATCAGCCTCATTTGAGCAAGGGGACTTACTCAAAATTGCACCAGTCCCGAAGAGCAAACAAATTCTCTTGTTGGTAACTGAGGTAAAGCCAAAATACCCAGTCAGAGAGGGGTTGGATGTGCATTTGGCTCTGAGGTGAAGGAAGAGTCTTTACTCCAAAGGACCTGGGTTGTGGCCTGCGTTGCCCCCACCCCTGCCAGCAGCTAGCCTGGAGGCAGAGTCCTGCAGAGCAGGGAGCAGCCTGACCAGCCTGCACTCTAGTGGGGAGGCCCTATGCGGAGAGAGCGATGAGCTGAAGCATGAAATTGGCGACCAGAAATTGGCTTTGTTTTAATTTGTTAGATTTGTGTTCATTTATTATGGCAGCAGTGGAAAAGTAATGTAGCATATAATTGCTATTTAAAAAACAGAACCACAGTCAGACATTTTCCAAATAAAAAGTCTTACTCTTGGGGCCAGAGAGATAGCACAGCAGGCAAGGCATTTGTCTCTTGCATGGCCGGCCCATGTTCCATCCCCGGCTCCCCCGTGTGGTCCTCTGCCACCTGCCAGGAGAGATCCCCGAATGCTGCGCCAGGAGTAAGTCCTTCTTGCTCTCTCTCTCCCTCTCCCTCGCCCCCACTCCCTCTATGTGTATTTCTGAATATAGTGAATGAGACTTTAGAATATTTACTTTGTCAGGTAAGCAGGTGTTTAGTGAGGTGCAAAGGAGTATAAGGCAGAATTAGTTGTTAATCATATTGCTGATACTTCAGCAAAAATGTGTCTAATGCAAATCCCTCCCTCCCTCCCTCCCTCCCTCCCTCCCTCCCTCCCTTCCTTCCTTCCTTCCTTCCTTCCTTCCTTCCTTCCTTCCTTCCTTCCTTCCTTCTCTCCCTCCCCCCTCCATCCCTCCCTCCGTCCCTCCCTCCCCCCTCCATTCCTCCCTCCTTCCCTCCCATCCTCCCATTCTCCCTCCTTCCCTCCTTCCTTCCTTCCTTCCTTCCTTCCTTCCTTCCTTCCTTCCTTCCTTCCTTCCTTCCTTTCTCCCTTCCTCTCCTTCTTTAATTTTTGTGTCACACCCGACAGTGCTCAGAGCTTATTCCTTATTCTGTGCTCAGAGATATTCCTGGCACTACTTGGAGGACTGTGCTATCGCTCCATCAGGTTGGAGCGATAGCACAGTGGGTAGGGCGTTCGCCTTACAAGCGGCCAACATGGCCGACCCGAGTTCGATTCCTCCGCCCCTCTCGGAGAGCCCGGCAAGCTACCAAGAGTATCTCGCCCGCACGGCAGAGCCTGGCAAGCTACCCGTGATGTATTCGATATGCCAGACACAGTAACAACAAAGTCTCCAATGGAGACGTTACTGGGCCCGCTCGAGCAAATCGACGATCAACGGGAGGGCCTTTACCTTTACCTTTACTTGGAGGACCATGCGTGATAGTGAGAATGGAACCAAGTGGAAGGCGAAAACATTAAGCCCTGTATTATCCCTGAGGCTCTGTCACTCTATTTCAAGCTACCTGGTTAGTCCTAGCTTAAATTCATAAGTGTGTATGACTTCTTGCCATCAGGTTTCAATTTATAAAAGTTTAATTATATAGACACCAGAAAATCTGACTTATAATTACTCAGGTCTAACTATTGGATATTTAGCATATTTTGGTACTTAAAATAAAACATTATCTTGCGATATAATAAAAGAGTTGTTGAAAAAGGATATAATGAGAGTTAGTTGGATTTATTTCTATTGGTTTGTCTATTCTCAACTGTTTCCTGCTTCACCATATGTAGAAGTATCTCAGGTATTATGAGTTATGAGAGTTTGTGGTATTATGAGAAATTAGGAGTGAGCTAGAGAAAAGGTATATATTAAATTAAAAATAAAATAATAATTGTAATTTGAAAAAATTAAATCAGAGATTTATGATCGATTTTCCCCTTCTCTTTTCCATTACAGATTAATCTTAAAGATGTTGGTGAAATCTATAAAATACGAATTGGACATGACAATAGTGGGCAGGATCCCAGGTGGTATCTGGAAGAAATTCGACTAGAAAATATAGACACAAATGAGCTGTTTTATTTCCCTGTTAATTCCTGGATAGCTGAAAATGAAAATGATGGTGATCTATGGAAAGAAATGCCCATTGTGAGAACTCACAAGGCACCGTTGCCAGGTATGATTTCATTAGTGATTTCTGTAGAGAATTTAAAATGACTGAGAGAGACTTAAACATGAAAGCTTAGCAACTTTTCCCACAGTGATTCAATAAATAAATATAAAAAAATAAATAAAAAAATTAAGGTGGAGTTCATGCCCAATTCATTCAGCTAATCAATGGCTGAATAAATAGCAGTACTCCTAAAAAAAAAAGACTGAGAGTGTCTTGAGAGATAGCTCCAGGGCTGCAGTGCTCGTGTTGCTAGCATGAATTCAGTCCTTGATCTGCATGACCTCTTCCCTTAGCATCCAATGAGGTGGTTCTGGTGGGCCCCAGTCCCACTGGGTCTAAGGAGCACTGTATCAGCAGGCCTGAGCACTGAACCATCTGGCTGATTGTCTGAGTATCACTGAGCATCACCCCTGGGCTCCCCTAGCACTGCTGGGAGGAGCTTCCCAAATTTAAATTAGTTGAAATGATTTAGATTCAAGGTCTACAGAACTGCAAAGAACCATCAGCCATGTGTCTAATGCTTACCAGGCCATATATTCTTTCAAAAACTGCTCAATTTTGCCAGTACAGTGAGTAGCTTCTACGGATCATAAACAAACTAATGGCATGGCGGTATTTCAATACAAATTCATTAATTAGACTCTGATATCAAAATTTCATATGAATTGCATTTTCCCCAAGACATAGTTTTGTTTTAACCTTTTAGAGAAAGAAAATATTCTTAGCTCTTAAATAGTTCAAAAACAATTACTGCAGAGGTGGTTGACTCTTGAGAGTGGAAGTGGATATGCAAGGGTACATACTTCTACATGCATGTTCTGCTATGTGGTGTGCCTTTGCTCTGGGCATGCTATGTTGTCAGTGCCAACAAACATGGATTTAACAACACTTGAATTTCATGAGTCGTCTTGTCATGTTTATTAAGAACGAACTCACACATTACCTTAAAATTTTCTTCCTCCATTTCTCTTTCTATCTCTGTTAAATAACCAACCTATTTTTTCTCACTGCTGTAGGGAAAATACTTTCCAAAAAAGTACCAATGGTGTCTGTTACAAATGACATAAGTTTGTGGTGTGTGTGTGTGTGTGTGTGTGTGTGTGTGTGCATGAATGTGTGGGTACGTGTGTGCACGTGTCTGTTTTCTGGGTTCTCAATACTTCTGTAATGAATTTGGGCCTTTTGTTCTTCATCTAAAGAGAAAGATTTTTCGCCGCTCTGGAAGCACACACTCTGTGTTAGTCTTGGTTTAACAATATTTATTTGTACCATCCTGAGCCAGTAACTTATCCTTTCTCTGTAAAATAGTCTCATCTATCAAACAGGGATAAAAATATGTGCCGATCATAATGCTGAAAGACACAATAACTAATACCCGAATCCCAGAAGCCAAAATCCTGTGAGTGTTCAGTTCTCAAAGTCCCAAATCCCTAAGATATATAGGAATGTTGGAGTTTTGTGATTTTTAAACTTTTAGGATCTCGACTTTTTTTTAGGGAGTGTTGGGTTACACTCAGCTGTGTTCAGGGCTGACTCTTGACTCTGCGGTCAGGGATCAATATTGGCAGGGCTTGGAGGACCATAGGAGTTACCGGGGACCAAGCCCAGGTCAGCTACATGCCAGTCACGTGCTGCCCACTGCAGTAGCTCCAGCCCAGGATTTTGACTTTTGAGGTACAAGTACTTGGGGTTGTGTCTCTTGAAATCGTGATCCAAGCTCAGGAAAAATAGTGCCTATGTCATAGGATTGTTTTATATTCATGAGAGGATGTACTTAGTCTTATGATAAGGCACCAGGAGTACTTAGTACATAGGAATCATGAAATAAATAGTAGCTCTTTTTCTCATAATATTAAGTATATTTTCAACCCTAACGTTTTCACATGGTACTCATCTAGTATCAACTTCACTATTTCTTGTATTTTTTCCTCCATTCCTATTACTGTCTCTGTGTAAACTCAAAAAAGGGGCACAGCACAGCGGCGGTGGCTCTATCTCTCCCGCCGCCCATGTTCGGTAGTCTCATGCCGCTTCCCCCACCCCGGGGAGGTCGATGCAGATGGGCAGGCAAAGGAAGGAAATGAGGGCCAGGCTGGTTGGTCTTAGTCGCCGTTTATTCCAATCCTATCTCCATCCACACCAGTCTCTCTTCTCTGCCTCTGCCTCCTGCTTCTTCCTCCCCCATGCTACTTCATTCTCCTTCTCCATCCCCCTTCATCCTCCTTCTCTGGAGTCTGGATTCTGATCCTGATCTCCTTTCTCCTCCTTCTGCTCCCCCAGCCCACTCTTACAGTCTAGTTAAATCCCAAAGCATGAGGGGTTGGGGTAATGATTACACATAGGTGCGGTCACAATCAATAGGAGTAGAATTCTTTTCCTCAGGAAAAGCTGCTCTTAGGACAGATCCTCTCTCAGCAGGACGACCCACCCAAGAGCAGAATCCCATGGGTGTGTTTCTCCTCTCCTTGTCCGACAAGCATATAAGCATATATAATATAAATCATTTTGTATGGATACAGTAAGAAATACCTTAAACTTATAGAATTGCCCTCCTAGGTCCATCTCAATCTCAGACTACAGTGCTCAGGCCAGATAGTCTTTCCCACCCCTAGCAGGATCCTAGCAGTGTTAAGCCTAAAATATTTGGAGCTATATTCCAACAGTCTCTACCTTGATCCTCTTCCCTTGAGTATAGGAGGTTAAGTGTTTGATTTCTTCATGCAATTTTGTGCCTCTATCTGACTTCTATCATTTACTCTTTCCAGAAAGATAATACTTAATCTGACTTCCTCTCCTTTGCCTCACTTGGTATTCCACTAGACTATTCCCTGCCTCCTCCTTTTCAGTAGCCAATTCTTGGCTCATTTGTTATTCCATAAGCAGGCTGGGCCTACCCAGATCTGCCCGGTTTCCATGGCCTCAGTTCTCATCCTCGGTCAGTGACTCCCTTCTCTTTTCCCTTCTGGTCAGGTTTCTTCCTTTTGTCTTTCTTCCACATGATTCTCCCTGTCACTCACTGTCTCTGAACTCACCAGGCCTGGCCCAAGAAACCAGGTTTTTCTAACCTTACTTAGAAAGTCTAATATTTTTCTCTACCAATTTATTTCTTCATTTACATTTTGCTCTTGTTCTTCTTAATCTTCTTTTCCTGTTGTTTGTGGGCCACTCTAGCATTGCTTAGGACTTACTCTTGGCGCTGTGTTCAGGGATCACTCCTGGCAGTGCTCAGAAGAGCACATGCTGCAAAGGGAATCAGATCCAGACTGGTTTAGTGTAAGGCAAGTGCACTATTCACTCAACTATTTCTCCAGCCCCTCTTTATCAGTTTCTTATTGATTAGTTTATGTCTCCATATTTTATATTTCTTAATCCCTGTTCTAAAACATGATGCAGAATATGTGACCCGTGTGGCAATAATAATACTTGTTGATTACTCCAGAAACAGCAAAAAATGCAAGACCCATCTTTTGAAAGGAGATGCATTAAGTACTACTAACTCTTCGTATTTGTTTTTATTTATTTATTTATTTATTTATTTATTTATTTATTTGGGCCACACCCAGAGGCACTTGGGGGTTGGTTACTCCTGGCTCTACACTCAGGAATCACACCAGGAGGTGCTTGAGGGACCACATGGGGTGCCGGGGATTAAACTTGGGTCAGCCTTATGCAAGGCAAACACCTTACCTGCTATACTATGGCTCCAGCTCTGTCTTTGTATTTTGAGTGTTTGTGAAATCATTTTCTCACATGAAATCTCCATCGAAACATAAACTCCAAGCTCTGTGTTCTGAACTCATCGCATCAATAACTGAAGTTATCAGCCCCGGCCCTAGGAATAGTTGCAGTTAACCTGCATTCATGAGCGGGGAGAGGAGATGCCCAGGTGCACACAGAAGCCGTTTGATACAGAAAAGGTAAAATGATCCTAGTAAATTTGGAGTTGCAGGGGTTGGAGCGATAACACAGCGGGTAGGGCATTGGCCTTGCACGCAACCAACATGGCCAACACAGGTTCGATTCCCAGCACCCCATATGGTCCCCGGAGCACCGCCAGGAGCAATTCCTGAGTGCATGAGCCAGGAGTAACCCCTGAGCATCACCGGGTGTGACCCCCCCCCCCCCCAAAGAATTTGGAGTTGCAGTTTTTACTCTGAATAGACAGAACTTACAGACACTTTTCTTACAGGCTTTGTGATTTGATGTTGCCTGGGGGCCACACCCTACAGTGCTGAGGGCTTACTCCTGCCTCTGCACTCAGGGCTCACTCCTGGTGGTGGCCAGGGGACCATACGCGGTGCAACGAATCAAATCCAGGTCGGCCACATGGAAAGGCAAGCACCTACGCAATGTACTATTTCTCTAGCCCTTAATTATGCTTTTCACCCAGTTGCTAACTTTGTTTTAAAAAAATCTATTCTAGTTCTTAAAAATATAGAGAAGGTATTTGAAATTCAAGATACCAGTAACAAGCGGGAGAAATTTTAGCTATCTCAACTTTTAGTTTTAATAGGATAAATTGTTTTAACCTTTAATTTCATCTGTATTCACACTGTACTAGATAACTACATTTATATTTCTTTTAATTGCCTATTTGACATATGTATAATTTGCTGTATGCCAAAATATGCAGTAAGCAGTTGTATGGGTTTTAAAATCCAAAGGTACTAAGCAAAAGTATATACCATCATGCTTTAAATGAATGATTTTGGGTCCACTCAACTAGAACTAGGAAAGGCTCAGAATGTCTCTCTTTTATCTTTCTGTTTATTTTTTTCCCCACATGAGCCAATGAAACTTTATTCATTAGCATTTCCCATTCAAAAGGGTAATTTCTTACCTGAAATACATCAACCAGTCCTTAAAGCATTTCTCCTAGAAAACAATAAATGTAATACACAATACATAGTAATATGATTCACTCTTTTCACTTAAAAAAATTTGTTTTTTCTTTTCACTTTTTAATGGTCATGACAAACTAATCCCTTGCCCTTTTCCTACAT